GCGGGTCTCTTCCCTCTCACTTCGGTGTTTTTATCAAGTAAGTCCCAGTTGTGCTGGTGAACGTTCATGGTGGGGCGAACGCGGAGACCGCAAACAGCCGCCCGAGCCGGCCAGCGGTGTCCCTGAGCGCGGTTTGTGACTCCGTCGTGTGCACTTCTCTGCGCAGTTTGGGTTTATCGTGTTTGCAAAATGGGGTTCAGAATGTGGCACCAAGCTACGCTGTGGACAAGGCCTCTGAATATATCGCTGAATCACACAGGCCGTATCATTCGTCTCAAAGCAGAAGCCCTTTTAACGCTACCTTTAGCATTTATCCCGAGTGATGAACTCCCTTGTCAGAGTGTCGGGCTCTGGAGGCTGCTGTAATGGAGCGCGTACTGTCCACTCCCTTGGTTGTTTTTCTCACCTGCTGAAAAAGACAGCAGTTTCCCACCACAATATCCCACTCTCCAGACCCTCTACCCTGGGCATCTTCTCCCTAGCATTTATCACCACAGGAATGAAATTCAAGAAGTAATATCGCCATTCTCTATGATACTGAAACATATACTGTAACTTTATGTATGTGGGCTTTGTGTGAACCTCCTTCACACAGCCTTACTACTTTAAAATCAGAGAGGCCTTTTAAGTACCCCTTTCTCCAACTGAACAAACAGGAGTTTAATAAATTTCACTTAAGGCAAGTATTGCTCTAAGTGAAGTTTGATTGTGTTCTAAGTGATTGAAAAAGAAAGAAAATAGTAGCTTAGCAGACATCTCACCAAAAAACAATGGTTAATAACTATGGTGGTAACAATTTGAATGGCAGCCCTGACACCCTGAGTCTGTCAGAGGAGCGGATCAATTCTCCAGCTGCTGCTTACGTGGTACAAAAGAATCATCCACCAGACTTTGAGCGTTAGGGACACTGTGTATCACAGAGCAGCTGGTTGGCTAAATAAGGCTGTCAGCTGTCCCTGGAAACGTCCAACCCCCTAAAGCTGAAGAGTGACTGGAAAGGACTGTCCCCAGCCTATAGAGGTACCTACCTAGAGAGATCCAGTGATGCTCATTTTACTCTGGGAACTGCTGAGATTATCTGCTTAAAGTCCCTCTGTGCAGAAATGAATAGGCTTAAGTCAGGCGAATCAGAGACCACCGGGGCGATCACTGCTGCTCTAGTTGAGACAGGGTCATGGAGTGGTGCAGGAGCAAGAGGAGGTCTATCTCGGGAGCAACAGTACATGGCAACTTGTCCTAGTTTGATATCTTCAAAGAAAACCTTAAGCTCCTTTCTCCTTGAAAGTTTCCCTTATAATTTTTCCAAGCATTTTTTATTTGAATCTTGAGCTCATCTTTCTGTAATGAGTTTCTTGGGTAGAAAGGGAAGGGATAATGAATATTAGAATTTTTTGAGCATAAGTAGTTAAATATGGACGATATTACTTTCACAACAGCCTCTGAAAGGGCAAGTGTCACAATCTTCATTTTAGAGATGAGGCAACAAAGGTAAAGAGGCATGATGGGCCCTTTGCCCGTGGCTGTGTGTTGATACTGTGGTCTCTTGCCCCGCTTTATTCTTTCTCCTTTCTGTCACTCTCCCTTGCCTTTGTAACCCTATTTCTTTTTTTAAATCTACCTGACTCCAAAGCCATTGAAACACCACAGTCTGCCTTCTCAACTCTCAACTCACCAATTCTCCTTTCCCCTACATTCTGACTCAGCAACATATTTATCTTTATCTTCCCTCCAAAAGGAAGTCTACTTCCTACCTCATAGTAGGTATATTATCTAAAATTGTATGTAGATACAATTATATCCTTATGGTAGATACAATTGTAGCCTTCTTTTTCATTCCAGCAAATGACCACAGAGGTTCCTTGCCCCAGTTTGGTGAGTGGCAGAGTGGCATGAGAGTCAATACTACCTCATGTTCCTTCTGAGAGTTGGCTTAGGACTGTATGTGGCTAATTAGACATGGCCTGTGCTGTATGAGGCCAGATGCATCTTTCTCCATAGGTGGACCAACATCAAGGGATCCCACTGAAGCCAGTATACTAGGTGCCATTTTGATGTTTTAGTTTTACTAGGTATAATATAAATCTAACTCCTGAACTAAATATAAAGCTTGTCTCACATAGTAGAGGTCCTTAGTATCATTACATTCCTGTCTTTGGCTTATCAGTCAGCAGCTGGTTACAGTTCATGAATATTTTCTCTTCTTAGTCTTCATAGTGTCTGATTTTATCCCATAATGAAGTTTGTGTTTTTAACATGTCTGGCCTGTTTGATCCAAGCTGACTTGTGTTCCATGTCAGGCACTTTACAGAGCAATATGAATCCCTCTGTGCCTGGTATATTCTGCTTTCAGGCTTCTATGCTTTGGTCATGCCGTTCTGTGCTTTGATCATGCTGTTCCTCTACTTCATGTGTTCTTCCTCATGCTTTCTTCTTTTCAACCCAAAGAATACTAACTCATCCTTCATGGCCAAGATCAAACATCACTTCCTCCAAAAAGCCTTGTTCAACCCTACTTTTCTTTTTTCCCATAGCTCTCTGCTGCTGCAGGGTCTAATTACCTCTCCTATGACACTTTCTTTATGCTGCTAAGAAAATATGTCAATAGATATTTGTTTATTCTGTCAAATTAGCTTATATAAAATAAATTGTGTCCTGAATATGTCTGTACCTCTGCATTAGAGATCTCCAGAGACACAGAACTCATCACTTAGCATTTGTGAAAGATTGGTTCCAGGACTCCTGTGGATACCAAAATCAGTGGATATTCAACATCGTCTTGTGTACTTCAGTTAATCTCCAGATTAATTATAATACCTAATATAACAATGTAGAAATTGTTGTAGTGTTTACAAAATAATGGCAAGAAAAAAATCTACATGTTCAGTTTCTTTTTTAAAAAAAATTTCCACCTGCAGTTGGTTGAATTTATGAATGTAGAAGCCAAAGGGCACATAGAATTATCTGCACATAGGTAGATATGTACAGAGATATAGATAGATACATGAGAGGAATTTATTAGGGGAATTGTCTTATGCATTTCTGGAGGCTGAGAAGTCTGAAGGGAGACCATCTGCCTTCTGGAAACCCAGGGAAATGTAGTGTAGCTGGCCAAGTCTGAAGGTCTCGGAACCAGGGAAGCCAGTGATGTAACTCTTAGTTTAAAGGCCAAAGACCTGAAAACCTAGGGGACCCCTCATGCCTTCCCAGTGTGCAAAGGCCTGAAAATCTACAGTGCTGATGGCCCAGTATAGGAGAAGATGGGTATTCTAGTGCCAGGAGAGAGGAAGTATTTTCACCTTTCCTCCACCTTTTTGTTCTAGCCAGGTCCACAGCTGCTAGGATGATGCCTGTTTAGTCTAGGAACTCCCATGCTGGTCTCCTCTGGAAATAGCATCTCAGATATACTTAGAAATAAGGCTTTACCAGTTGTTTAGGTATTCTTTAATCCAGGAACATCAGCAACTAATGGTAACCCACAATGTCTCACATAGGGCCTGGTGGAGACTTAAGTATTTTTTAATCATGAGAAATTACAGTATGGAATGTAGTATACCAAGACACTTCATCCTAAGTGGAATTACTGCTCAAGCCACTTACTCTCTGTTAACCATTGATAAATTACTTAACTTTCTGAGCCCTCATTTCCTGACTTGTAAAGCAACAATAATAAAAATAATAGAAGTGAAATCTTCAAATTGCCCTAAAAATTTAAAAAGTTTACACTTCTACAATTACACACAAGAAAGCCTGATGTACAGTATATTGGTTAGCTTTCCATTGATGGGACAAAATATCTGATACCTGAATCTTAAAAGAGAGGTTTATTTTAGCTCACAGCTTCAGGAGTTTCAGTCCATGGTTGGCTGGGTCCAAGGCAGAAGCATCATGGTGGAAGGGCATGGCGAAAGAAAGCTGCTCAATTCATGGAAGCCCAGAAGCAGAGAATGGAATGAACCAGAGAAGAAGAGGCCAGATACAGTCCCTAAATTCACCCAGGTACAACCAGAAGTGTGCTTTACTAAGCTCCTAGTGTCTTCAAGCCAATCAAGTTAAATATCACATAGAGTAAGTGCAAAGAATACCTGCTCTTGCTGTTATCATAAAGTGAAACAAACTTCCTAGAAGGACAATAAAAATTGTTACCAAAATAATCACCAAGTGCTAGGCAGGAGCCATGAAGGGGAACCATAAGTCAAAGAAGTGCAACCAGGTTTGATTCAAGTTAGCTGTACATATCTGTGCCCAGTGAGTAGCTCTTAACGCTTGTTCTACTTCATGCTTATTGGTGACAAGGAGCCCATCCATGGTGGCTGGGTCAGAGCCCAATGTGCTGAGGCGGTATTTTAATGTTACCCTGATGTGAAAGCATAGGAGCCTCAGTCATTAAAGGAAGCGAAGAAGCCACAAGGACCTGTGCTGTATGGGCAAGGACTGGGTTTGGATGGTCAAGCAGCTGGCAGATATTGATGTAGGGGTAAATAGATAGATTTAGCCTAGGTTGGCAGACGTAAGGTTTCTTCATCTTAGCCTGTGCTTCAATTAGGGGGAAATATTATATTTAAGGCAGGCAGGTGGTAGAACTAAGATTGTAGTAAGGGACATCTTGTCACAGAGATAGCAATCTGATCTCACGTGAATGTTCCTCTCTAAGTCCAATAAGCAACAGGATGTTTTTATCTCAGCCAGGGAGATACACAGTGCTTCCCGCTCCTCCCTTGCTCTTGCTCCTGGGACTACTCATGTGGAACCCATATCTATGGCAGCCTGCAAGTGCTGAAAGAAACTAGTATCCAGGGGAGGTTGGAAAATTGCAGCAGGCACATTTCTTTGAGAGTATGTAGTATTTCAAATCACAGGAAGGCCCCTTTGTATCTTGCCTAACTTTTCAGTTTGAGGGCACATAATATGCATGGTATATACTATGCACCAAGACTCACTGTGCAAGTGTATTTATTTTCTCTCAGTGGTATAAGAAATTATTCTAAATTCAGTACCTTAAAGCAGTACACATTGTTTATCTCATAATTCCATAGGTCA